TAAAAGTGCGTTAGGCCCGGTTAGTGACATTTCGACCTCCCATGCTCCTTATCGGGTGTTATCCCGCTGAATTCGTCTTGGTTTCGAGTTTGCTTTTCTATTGATTAAAGCTTCTTTAGATGTCGAAGTTACTCTTAAATCGGTAAGGGGGTTGATTGTGCAAAGGGGCTATTAGAGTTCCTGAAATATTGATAGGTTTATGTTTTTGATTTGTTATCCCTTCGCTGCTTCGAAGACGTCTGGCATTTCCTTGAATCTAACGATGCTCTTTCTTTTGGGTCCTGGCGGGCAGGTGGTCAATGGGTTTCTTGGGAATAGGCAGGGTTTCAGCGGCTGGTCGATATTCGAGAGGATCGTCGGATTTTCCTTCCGATTGATCCTTAGCTCGGCTCTGGTTGTATTTATCCAGAAATTCCTTTACTCTTCTTGAAAGTCCATCGTCATATTCATCAACGGATCCTGGGTCCTCAAGTAGTCCAAATGCTCTTGATCATCCTCACCAGTCCCTGAAACACACTGTCTTCTGGAAGCATGGTCCAATCCTTTCATAATCCCAGAATAGGGTGTTGTTTGTGAGATTAGAGTCACCTGCTCCTGCGCCTGTGAAGGAGTTGAATTTATTAATGATTCATTCACTCCCTGGATAAGATGTTGAGTTTCGGTTATAGGATCATCCTTGGGTTGGTCCTCCTGATCACTTGATTCATCCTGCTGCTGTTGCTGGCTGCCTTCGTTGCCCTTCAATGACTACTTGGTCGGGAGGTAGTCTTCTGATTCTGACTCAGAAGATGATGATGAATCAGGTTCGGGATCCTTTAATGTTCCTTCTCTTGCCAGTTGATCAGCATTTTCGTTTCCAGGAATTCCTTCATGACCGGGGACGTGTTTCCAGACTACATCCAAAGGTTTCAGAGTCTTATCAACTTTCGTAAACCTTTCGATTCTTTACAGGTTTGTTTCAGTAGTCTTCCAGTCGTTCTGCTGCCATCTGGTACCCACTCTTGGACGCTCTGCCTAGGTATTTGGAATCAGTGTTGATCCTTTATTTCGAATTCCTGCTTTTATTGCTTGTTTAGCAGCAATAGTTGCTGCTGCTTCAATTTCTGAGGCGTTGTTAGTTTGCTTGCCTCTATATCGTTGCGAGACGTTGAGAGGGTGATCTTTACCAAACCAAACGCCGACTCCGGCTCTCGGGCTGGATCCGCCATTTCGCAACATGCTCCATCAACGTAGACGTCTGTATATGCGTCCAGGGTTTTGTCTCTGGAAGTGGAGGGTTGAGAAAGGGAAGGTGAGGTGGAAGGTTGGGAAGGCACTGTAGCCTTCCGGAAACAGGGGGATCAGAATTTTCCTCTGACAACTCCTCGATTTCCTTTCTGGTTCTTCCTCCGAAGTTGCTTCAGTAGTGGACGATAGTGTAGGGTCGGTGTCGTCGGGGTCTACAGAAATGGCACCCTTGCGCGGGCGCAGGCGGTTGGCGATGCAACTCTCGTCTGCTGCGTTTATTATTATTTTTTTAGTGGGGCGGAAGGTTTCGTCACCTGTAGGTCTCGCTGAATTCGTGCTGCCTACTGGTCTCCTCTGCCCCTGGGCTCAGATTTGGGTTTCGGTTCGGCCTTACGTGACTGCTTTTTGAGATTTATTTAGGTGGACCAGATCTGACCTCCAGGTTGCTGGGTCTCTTTAAAATAGTTTTTTGCCGTTGTTGTCCTTGACTCGTGGATGGTTGTCCAAGATATCCTCCCTTCGCTGCTGGTTTCTTGGTGAGGGTGGGGTCAATAACCTTTTGTTTTGTTCCGGCTTTTGCAGGAATTCCTGATTTTGATCCTTTAGATTTTAACCCTTCCTTTAGGCTTCCGGTTCGCTCTAATGATGTGGTAGGCCTTTGAAGTAACCTTTTCTTGTCTTTTGGATCGTTAGGATTCACTCGCGCACTTTCTTGTGCTTTACTAGTGGAGGAACGATTAATGGGTAAAGCTCGATAGGCTTTAGGGCTAGGGCTCACAATCGTTTAATTGTTTCGACACTTTCGATGTGGCCGCTTAGGTTATCCGGATCAGAGGAGGGTAAATCCGACCAGTTGGAATCCGAACCAGCTTTGGGCTCACCTGAATGATCAACAGGATTGTTGGATAGTGCTTCAACAATTCTATTGATTTTCCAGGTTTGCATTCAAACTTATATTGATAATTCTGCATACGAATCCTCCATCTTTGGATTCGGGCTCCAGGATTCTCAATATAGGTCATCCAGTGAACTGGTTCAAATCGCAAGCCAAAATAAAATCTCGTCCATAGAGATAGGGTCGGAAATGTTCCATGGCGTATAAAATGCCGAGACACTCCTTTTCTGCCTTCGGGTATTTTTGTTCGTTGGCGTTCAAAATTTTGGAATAGTACGCGACAGGCAAATCGATGTTGTCCTTTTCTTGAGTTAAAATTGCGCCTACCGCATACTCGGAGGCATCACAATTAGTTTAAAAGTCGCGTTAAAGTCTGGATATTGGAGGACCGGTTCCTTACACAAATATCGTCTTAATCGAGAAAAACTATCTCTTTGTGGTTTTCCCATTTCCACGCGTGTCCTTTTTTAGCAATTCTGTGAGAGGCTTTGTGCATGTTTGCGTAGTCTTTTATAAACGCCTGTAATATCCCGAAAGGCCAAGAAAACTTTTAATGTCTCTTGGTGTTTTTGGTGGGGGAAAGTTTTTAATCGCGATTTATTTTATTAGGTTTGGTTTTACCCCGTCTTCACTAATAATATGTCCCAGGTATGCTTACCTCGGTCTTTAGGAATTCGCACTTGTCGGGTTGAAGTTTTTAAATTAGCTTCTCTCAGTCTATTGAATAGTCTTCGCGCCCTTCTATCGTGTTCTTCTAAAAAGTCAAGTCAAGTTTTTTTTAATGTAATTTTTTTCAAAAGAATTTTTTCTGTGTCTTAACGCTTTTCAAATAAAACAAAAAGTATCAAAAACGTGTTCCCGATAGTTGTACTTGAAAAATATTCATTTCTGTGCGATTCCATGGGAGATTTCAGCTTTTTCGGAGTAAGTAAATCAATTGCAATGAAACTTAGGAATTTCAATCTACACATAAAAAGAAACATTTTCACCAAATATTACGTCAAAATATTTAGTAGTTTTTGAGATGTCAAAATTTTGGAAAAATTTTGAAATCGTTATATCTTCTTTCCATCATTAACCAAATCACTTAATTCTTTTTGGAAAAAATTCAGCATAAAAAAACAAAAATTTTTGTTATATTATGTTTATAAAAAATTTTTATAAACAAAAAAGTTATTAAATAATAATTGAATAACTTTTGCACGACTAAACGAAATTGAATGAGGCAAACACTAAACAAATCTTCGCTCTGGTTTTTTTAAGATTCCGAAAAAAACATGGTACATCACGAAACATTTCTATACAATATTTTAATATTTTTGTTCACTTTTAAGCGTAAACATTAGAAGTTTCTGCTACTTTACGTGAAAATTCAGGTGCGCGCGCAGACCTCTCTCTCTGAAACCGGAAATTCGTAGATGATTAGAAAGAGAGGTCTGCGCGCGCACCTGAATTTTCACGTAAAGTAGCAGAAACTTCTAATGTTTACGCTTAAAAGTGAACAAAAATATTAAAATATTGTATAGAAATGTTTCGTGATGTATCATGTTTTTTTCGGAATCTTAAAAAAACCAGAGCGAAGATTTGTTTAGTGTTTGCCTCATTCAATTTCGTTTAGTCGTGCAAAAGTTATTCAATTATTATTTAATAACTTTTTTGTTTATAAAAATTTTTTATAAACATAATATAACAAAAATTTTTCGTTTTTTTATGCTGAATTTTTTCCAAAAAGAATTAAGTGATTTGGTTAAGATGGAAAGAAGTTATAACGATTTCAAAATTTTTTCAAAATTTTGACATCTCAAAAACTACTGAATATTTTGACGTAATATTTGGTGAAAATGTTTCTTTTTATGTGTAGATTGAAATTCCTAAGTTTCATTGCAATTGGTTTACTTACTCCGAAAAAGCTGAAATCTCCCATTGAATCGCACTTCTAAATTTTATTTTTTTCGATTTTGAATTTAAAATGGCGCTTGAAGGACAAAAATTTTTTCTTATTTTACGTAAGATGACAAACTTTTCAAAATTGCTCAAATCTGATTGAAATTTGTTACTCAGGGGTTTTCGTGGTCGCTGATTACGAATCTGATGTCCATTTCCCAAAATTCAAATGGCGGATCCAATATGGCGGATGACTTTTTTAAAAAATTGATCGAATTCGCTTGAAAACTCGTTACTCGGGGGTTATCGGGGTCGCTGGTTACGAATCCGATGTCAGTTTTTCAAAATTCAAAATGGCGGATCTAATATGGCGGACGAAATACAAAAATTGTTCAGATTTGCTTGAATCTTGTTACTCGGGGGTTTTTGGGGTAGCTGATTACGAATTTGATATCAGATTTTCAAAATTCAAAATGGCGGATCCAATATGACAGATGACTTTTTTAAGAATTAATCGGATTCGCTTGAAATTTGTTACTCTGCGATTTTTGGGTTCGATAATGACGAATCTGACGTTAGATTAAAAAAATTCAATATGCCGGATCCAGAATGGCGGACGAATTTTTCAAAATATCTCAAACCTGATTGAAACACGTTACTCGTGGGTTTTTGGAGTTGCTGGTTGCGAATCCGATGTTAGTTTTTCAAAATTCAAAATGGTGGAATCGATATGGCAGACTAGGTGTAAAAAAAATATCCTTACCAATTCATATAGCTATTTTATACCAAGCATTTTGAATTTTTAAAAAACGAACATCGGATTCGCAATCAGTGGACCCGAAAACCCTACATTAACAAAAATTCAAGTGAATCCGACTAATTTTTTAATTTCGTCTGTCATATTCGTTCCGCCATTTTGAATTTTGAAAAACTAACATCGATTTTCTCGTACCAGAGATCACTTTTAAATTTTCCTGTCACATATTGTGAAATATAGATAAGTTGATACTGGTAGAGTCAGAGCAAAAAGAGTATAATAATTCCGCCATTTTGAATTTTTGGAATGTGACTTCATATTCGTAATCAGCCACCCTAAAAATACCACACTAACAAATTTCAAGCAAACCTGAGTAAATTAAAAAAATTAGTCTTTCATTATACTTTGGCCACTTTGAATTTGTTGAATCTAACGTCAGATTCGTCATAAGTGACGCGAAAAAACCGTAGAGTAACAAATTTCAAGCGAATCCAATCAATTTTTAAAAAAGTCATCTGTCGTATTGGATCCGCCATTTTGAATTTTGAAAATCTGATATTAAATTCGTAATCAGCTACCCCAAAAACCCCCGAGTAACAAGATTCAAGCAAATCTGAACAATTTTGTATTTCGTCCGCCATATTAGATCCGCCATTTTGAATTTTTAAAAACTAACATCGGATTTGTAATCAGCGACCCTGAAAACCCCCGAGTAACGAGTTTCAAGCGAATCCGATCAATTTTTTAAAAAGTCATCCGCCATATTGGATCCGCCATTTTGAATTTTGAAATCAGACTTCAAATTCGTAATCAGCGACCACGAAAACCCCTGAGTAACAAATTTCAATCAGATTTGAGCAATTTTGAAAAGTTTGTCATCTTACGTAAAATAAGAAAAATTTTTTGTCCTTCAAGCGCCATTTTAAACTCAAAATCGAAAAAAATAAAATTTAGAAATGAATATTTTTCAAGTACAACTATCGGGAACACGTTTTTGATACTTTTTGTTCTATTTGAAAAGCGTTAAGACACAGAAAAAAATTCTTTTGAAAAAAATTACATTAAAAAAACTTGACTTTTTTTAGTATTTTTGAAAAAAGAAGGGTTAAATATCATTTTTTGAAAATTTTGACCACACCATTCGAAAGAGCGACCCCAAAAATAGTAGGGTATGGACTTTTAAAAACTTTTATGGCTTTTTTCTACTAATTGTAAGAGATTGAATTTCATGTTGAAAAGTAGCACATTTCGTCGTTAAAGGGTTAATGGGATTTTTATTCTTTATTTCTTCTGGATCTATTACTGCAATATCTATAAGTAGTCTGCTTATCGGAGTGGTAAACTCACAATCGGCTGATAGAAAATGTACATAATTATTTCGATGGTAACTTAGATTTTCTCTATGGCTTGTGATATTTGAAAGTTTTTCTGTAATTTTAGAATAACTTGAGGGTAAGTTTGGAGGAATACTTTCTATTGGTATTGTTATCATAGAATTCGATTTAAAATTATATTCTTTTGGTTCGTTATCTGTATTTTCTTCCTCTTCACTTTCTTCTTCTTCATTGGTGTTTTCCTTTTCTTCGTTTCCTTCTTTTTCATCTTCATTATCATCATCTGTGGTTTCTTCATCTTCATCATCTGTATCGACATCTGTTTCGTGCAATGAAGTGTGATAGGTGTTAACATAGCCTTTGGAGTTTTGAAAAATACAGGTGTGTTAGGTTCTGATGGTGAGGGTCTGAAAGTAACGTTTTTGGTTTTATTACTGTCTATTTCATTTTTCTGCGGAGTTTGATGTATTGATTGTTCTGGTTTCGTGATTTCATTGATTGAAGTTTCACTATCGGGATTATCTATTTCATTATTTTCCCATATGGATGCACCTTTAGCATAATCCCAATATAAATCAAATTTTTGTGAGAATTCTGAATGATCTCCGGGAATCAATTCATTAGCTGCTTTATGAATGGTCTCATCATTATTTCCGTCAGAGTGTACGATCCAATCTCTGGGTGGTTGTGGTGAGTCCATTAACCAATCTTCATGTTGTTTTAAAGATTTATTAAAACGGGTTATAGAGTTTCTTAAATCCTGAGCTATTTCTTTTCTACTTAGGTTCATCATATTGTTTTCCTCTTCTTCAGAACTTTTTTCGCTCTCACTAACTGGTGGTTTTACCGTTACTACTGTTTTTTCTGGGCTTGAAAAATTTACAATTTTGGGTAACAGTTGTGGAGGTGCACTTTTAGGTCCACGCATGTTTTTTGTAGCTGCTGATGGAAGTTTCAAACTAGGAAGCAGACTTCTACTAGGTTTTTGAATAGGAGGATTTGGTATCTCTATATCTTCTTCAGTAATATCTTCGTCTGAAATCTTTATCTATTGTTATTACTCTAGGTTGTGTTGCCCTTCTTTCTGATACTCTTGATCCTATTGTACTTTGATTAAAATTACATTTTGATGTTGATGGTTTTAATATTGATTTTGAGGGTTGTAATTTTGATTTTTGAGGTTGTAATTTTGATTTTTGAGGATTCACATAGACTTTTGTCGGTGGTTTCTTTGGGTCATTATCAAGTTTTTTATTAATTAGGATTTTAACTTGTTTTTGTTGTTCGATCTCAGTTTGAGAATTTTTGTTTATTTTTTTATTAACATTTTTAGAAAGAGCATCGGCATTTGTATTTAGTTTTCCTGATTTATGTTTAAATTCATACTCCTAATCTCTTAGTTTTAGTCTCCATTTTATTAATCGTTGACCTAGGTCTATCCTAGGTATCTACTGATGGTATATATTCTTCTTCTGTAGAGTAATCGTTGGAATCTTCACCTGGTAATTTGTAACATTCGAAAGGGATTAACTCTTGAGGCGGTATCTCAATTTCTGCGTCTTCAATTGTCATATTTATGGCATAAATGTGACAAACTCCATCGCGATTTGTTACTATTCCTTCACCCAATAGTAATCCTTCAGTTGTTTTTATCAAGGGTAAATATCCTTCTTTTAATTCAGTGTTTAGAATATCGATAGGTATCACTTGTCTAGTTCTAGCTATAATAGTTACATTTTTTCTTCTATATTTTGAATTTTTTAATTTTACCATCATGTTTGGATTCAGCGACCTCGAAACCATTAAAATACCACAATTTGGATAAATTAAAAGTTTTTTAAAATTTTGAAAATTTCATCCGCCATTTTGAATTTGCCATTTTGAATTTCGAAACACCAACTTTATTTTTGTATTCAGTGATCCTAAATGATTACAAAAAAGATGTTTTATTAAGTTTTGTCATGATTTACAGGTTTTTAAACTCTAATTTGTCATTTTTTCATAAAAAATGCTAACTTTACTCAACTCCCAGAAGCTCAAAAAATTAGATCAAGGATTCTCTATAATTTTCCTATATTCTAAATTTATTTAGCTTTATTTTGGTCAATTCCTTCAAGAGAAATTAGGTTTTGAACGCGAAAATGCAAAAATTAACACACTGTGAGTCGGTCTTTAAACAGTCGATCCATGAAGATTCAAAATATTAAAAAATTACATTGGTGTAGAGTTGGTCTTTGTAGAGTCGGTCCATGAAGATTCAATATTAGGAAAAATTATATTGGTGTAGAGTCGCACTTTGTAAAGTCAGTCCATAAAGATTCAAAATATTAACAAATTGTATTGTTTTACAGTCGGTCTGTGAAAATTCGGTCCATAAAGATTCAAAAGATTCAAAAGTTTAAAAAATTATATTGTTGAGAGTCGGTCTTTGAACAGTCGGTCCATAAAGTTTCAAAATATTAAAAATTATATTGGTGTAGAGTCGGTCTTTGTAGTGTCGGTCCATGAAGTTTCAATATTTTGAAAAATTATATTTGTGTAGAGTCGGTCTTTGTCGTATCGATCCATGAAGATTCAAAATTTTGAAAAATTATATTTGTGTAGAGTCGGACTTTGTAGAGTCGGTCCATGAAGATTTAATATTTGAAAAATTATATTGGTTTTGAGTCGGTCCATGAAGGTTCAAAATTAAATAGGTGTAGTGTCGGTCTTTGTAGAATCGGTCCATGAAGGTTTAATATTTTAAAAAATTATATGGGTGTAGAGTCGGTCCATGAAGATTCTAAATTTTGAAAAATGATATTGTTGTATAGTCGGTCCTTGAACAGTCGGTCCATGAAGATTCGAAATATTAAAAAATTATATTAGTGTAGAGTCGGTCTTTGCAGAGTCAGTCGATGAAGATTTAATATTTTGAATAATTATATTGGTGTAGAGTCAGTCCATTAAGATTCAAAATATTAATAAATTATATTGTTGTATAGTCGGTCTTTGTAGAGTCGGTCCATAAAGATTCAATTTATTGAAAAATTATATTTGTGTAGAGTCGGTATTTGTAGTGTCGGTCCATTAAGATTCAATATTTTGAAAAATTATATTTGTGTAGAAGCGGTCTTTGTAGTGTCGGTCCATAAAGATTTATTATTTTAAAAAATTATATTTGTGTAGAGTCGGTCCATAAAGATTCAACATTTTGAGAAATTATATAGTTGTATAGTCGGTCCTTGAACAGTCGATCCATGAAGATTCGAAATATAAAAAATTATATTACTGTAAAGTCTGTCTTTGTAGAGTCGGTCGATGAAGATTTAATATTTTGAATAATTATATTGGTGTAGAGTCGGTCCATTAAGATTCAAAATATTAATAAATTATATTGTTGTATAGTCGGTCTTTGTAGAGTCGGTCCATATAGATTCATTATTTTGAAAAATTATATTTGTGTAGAGTCGGTCTTTGTAGTGTCGGTCCATGAAGATTTAATATTTTGATAAATTATATTGGTGTAGAGTCGGTCCATAAAGATTCAAAATTTTGAAAAATTATATTGTTGTATAGTCGGTCTTTGAACAGTCGGTTCATAAAGATTCGAAATATTAAAAAATTATATTGGTCTAGAGTCGGTCTTTGAACAGTCGGTCCATGAAGATTCGAAATATTTAAAAATTATATTGGTGTAGAGTCGGTCTTTGTATAGTCGGTCCATGAAGATTCAATTTTTTGAAAAATTATATTGTTGTAGAGTCGGTCACAACTGTTTGAAAGTTGTGTAAAGATTTAAATGTTACAATTCTTTCAAAGAATATTGTAACTCGTTCACATATGGCTAAACAACTAAATTTGTAGTATCAAAATTCTGTCTATTTACCACATTATCCTTTACAAGAAACTGATAGCGAATATTTACATATTTATTTAAAAAAGTTCTAGGATAATCATTTTTAATTAATATGTCATAAATAAAATTTAAATTTTCTGTAAAAATTTTTGGTCCGACATTTTTATGGCCCTGTCTACCAAACCATAAATGATTGAGATTTTATCGTTAATGGATACATTAGAAATATAATTTATACATTTACCAGAAAAGGTATCTGTATGATACCAATTCGTTACAATAGAACTATTTTCTCTGATAAAAAGGGTGTCCAAAAAACTAATGCTATTATTATTCTCGAATTCAACGGTAAATTGTAAATTATTATTATAATTATTAAAAGCATTTAAAAGGTTATTAGCATTATCTTTGTGGTCACATGTGATGATGTCATCCACGTATCTAAAATAAAAAAGTAATTCAAAATTTAATTTTCTTAAAACATCCGTTTCTAGGTTCTCCATTACTAAGTCAGCTATGGACACCAGATAATGGAGAACCCATAGGAGTTCCAAAAATTTGTTTGTAAAATTTACCATTAAAACAACAATACGCATTATCAATACAAAATTTTAAAATATCAATAAATATATCGTCAGGGATATCCGTGTGTTGTCTAATCTCCCTCCATTTTAGCTTAACACACTTCAAAACCAAATCTTTTGGTATGTTTGTAAAAAGTGACTTTGCATCTAATGAAAATAAAATGAAATTGTCAATTTAAAGTTTTTTCAAAGAATAAGGACAATACTCCATTTGATCTTAAATCGCATTTGGTTTACAGTATCCCCTGCTCCAGTATGTGGAGCTTGCTACATTGGTGAGACTGGTAGATATATTAAAAGTAGATTAAGCGAACATAAAAGGGATTGCAATAATGATAATAGAAGAACAGCTCTGGTAACACATGCTCATGAGAATGATAATTTTTTTAGTTTCGATTCGACAAACATCATTTGCAGTGAGCGAAATTACAGACGCAGGAAATTTAGAGAAATGTTTCACATTCTCAAAGTCCACAAATTCTGTAAATAAGCAAACTGACATAAATAATTTAAATCAAATTTATCATTCGTTTATTTTAAACACTAATTAAATTTTTCAAATTAATCAAATTGTCTTTATTTTCAAATTAATTAAATTGTATTTATTTTCATTTTTAAAATTATTGATTAAGCATTTTTCTTTATTATCATACTCCGAATCTGCTTTATCCTCATATGGCATTTAAAAAACATTTTTTTTATACGTTAAAGACATGAAGTAGTATAAGAAGACCGAACGACCATGCAAATTTTGTATTGAAAGTGGGACAGATTTCGGTACCCGAATAGTGAGTGAATAATACCGAAAGGAACACCAGCGCTGCTTGTGGTTAAATTGTTGACTATGAAAAGCACAAAACATAACCTATATTATTTGTTTATGTTTCACTAATTCATGTGTGTCATATATGTTTTCATGTGTTCCTCATATTTTTTAAATATTATCAAAGTAAAATAATTATAGTGTTATTTTCAGTGTTATAATTCTATCAATTGTCCCAGATAGCAAAGTGCGCGCACTGTGCCAGACACAGTGCTAGCATGCGTGCGAAATAATTCGCACCTCGTGCTATCACTGGACCACACAGATGCGTCCTCATATGCGTCGCATATGAATCGCACGTCATGATGGTCGCATATGACTCGTATGTCCAGAGAGTACATCAAGTAGCTATAATGACAATTAAAATACATTTACAATAATAATAATTATAATAAGCCTAATGCAGGACTGAACAAGACTGCTTTCACTGTTCCCAAAATTACGCGTGTCTCTCGCGTTCATTCAATATAATATAAACAAGTTGTTCATTTCATGATCATTAAGCTTCCTCAATATAATATATACCAATTGTTTAATTTTTTATTTTAGAATAATTATTTTAAAGTGTTAAGATAAATTCTCAAAAAATACAAAATTTCAATTTTTTGTGAAAATTTAAAATATTTATTAATTCTATAAATTTTGATAAAATATATACTTTATATACGTGAATCGATTCGTTTTTATGTCAGGAATGCAATTTTGACAAGAATTAATAATAATTTTAATATAGAAAAAAGTTATTTCAAAAAATCCAAAAATTAAAAAATTTTTGAAAATTTTTTTTTTTAGATATTTTTGAAAATCCTTTTATCTGATTTTTGGTATTCGTGACCGTAATAAACCTACAAAATTTTATCAAAATCCGTCGGTGACATACACACACATACATACACACACACATACATACACACATACATCCGGACATTTGTTCCTCTCGACGAATTTTGTATACTACACTTGAAAATTTGTAAAAATAATTGGTTCTAAAAAATTCGGAAATCGACATCACTATAAGGCTTCCTTTATGAGGAAGCAATATATGAATTATTAATAATTATAATAATAAATATTATTGATTTTATATCTATGCATATATGCGTATTTATATATTTAATAACAATAAGGTATTATTTTAATAACTATATTATTTTGATATCAATAATTTTTGTAAAAAAAGATAATTTTTTTAATTTGGTTCCTTTTTTTAACAGATTTTTAATATTATTTACAAACATGTTCACAAGTTTTTATTCACAACACTTATAATTTATACAGATTAAATAATAATTTTATTATTTTATATAACGCTTAGAATGAAAAATATCCGCTCGCATGTGGGATCGAACTTAGGTCCCCCCGCCCCGACGCATACCGGAAGCCTATAACGCAACGCATTTAAACCGCACGGCCACTGATGGCTGGATGAGAACTCTCCTAATCTACTATATCAATGCCAGTGCCGTATATTTTCTGATTTTAAATGATATTTATTTTTATTAATAATATATTATTTAAATAATATTGATAATGTGTTACAAACCAGAATTAATTTATTTAATAATATCGAGCTTTTGAGATGGCTCTAAAATTCTGTTTTGGGGAGGCACCAAGCTGCCGAATTTCTTGGGGAAATCGTTTAAATTGTGGGATCCGTTTTCCACTTTTAAAAGTTACGCACTGCTTCTGGGAAATGGTTGTGTGAGGAATTTAATGTAAGTAAAAGAGAGAAGTTAGCTTGAGAAAAACAAAGAGGTTTATTGTTGTGTTAAAATTAGAAACGATACATTACTTACTCTACCGGCGACAGTGGTGTTACAATCAGCTGCCGTCGGGCAAAACGAACTTCCGTTGTTGTTTGTTGCACAACGTGATTTAAGTCTTTAGTTCAAATAAAACAAATTTGAACTTTTATGCTTTCTTTATACTTAAGAAAATTCCAAAAATTTATTTATTTAAAACAAATTTTTTTTTTTGTCGAGGCCGTTGCATCGAAACGGCGCAGGCGCTACACGCACGGGCTGGCCGGTTTCACATAAACAAAAATCCGCTGCAATTAATTAATTAATTACAGCCGATTTTCTTCCGACACAATTCTCGAAAGGACTCCGTCGGTTAGAAGAATTTAGTTTGGTTTTTCGTCCGCCTTTCGCGTTATACTTAAAAAGTTTTACACGGGGGTCCGACTCGCAGACGGGCTAAGTCGCGGCGTTCTTGAATCTCGCAACGCTTACCAGGTCAAGACCAGGAGAGGTGTTGCTCGAGAGATGCAAGAAGTAGTACTGCTATGATTAAAAGATTTTGACTAGCCTCTAGTCCTTGCTTCGAACCAAGGTGGGATAATTCAAATGATAAGAGGTGTAAAAAAAAATCGGGAGTAGGGGAAGATCCGCGGCCCATTGGACATTGCATTTCTGCTGATCTTTTAATTCTCACGGCAGCTCCGTGAGAACGGAAACAAAATAAATTTGATCCTTTTTGGAAATAATAATATTCGATGAATATTTTAATAATTATTATTAATAATTCATTATCGTATTGTCATAGAAGACATAATTATAACCACCTTGTTATGGTGGTTAATATTTTTAGAAAAGGAATTAATATTTCTTATTTATTTGAATATATTTGGAGTGATATCTACTAATATTCAAATTTGTTTAAACTAAGCACGGGTGTTGCATTAAGTATCCCGTCTTAGTTCCTGTCAAACGCACGTGCGTTTGTTGTGATGCTGCAAACCAATCTTGTGGGCGCGGAGGGGAAGGGGAGGTTTCTTTAGGTAAGGAAGCATTGAGTGGAGGCTAGCATAGATATGCATGTGTTGGTGCATTAGCACGGGACTTCGTTTAGTCGTGTGAGTCTCGTAGCGAAGGGAGACCTGTGAGAGTGCCGGCACTCCTACACTGCAGCTGAGTACTCGTGTGTGTTACTATAGCGAGCGGAGTCCACGGGAGTGTCGGTGTATATGATGTGCCGGCAGGCCACGCGTGTATGCGCCATAGTAGCTGCTCTAACACATGTATATCGATGATGAACACCGTTTCGCCCTTTTTGGCTTCGCAATATTGCTACAATTAACATAATATACAACATACACACAATGCACACATAATACATAATATAATAATAATAATACAGCAATAATATAATAACAATAATAATAATAATATTATAATATAATATATATAATATATTATATTATTTCCCATATTGTATTATATTATTTACCCATATTATCCCATTTAAATTGATGTTGCTTTGCAACATTGCCGCAACATTTCGTAATAAAATTTTTCTTATGTTGCTACAATGTTGTTTGTCGCCTTTTAGCTTCGCAACATTGCTGCAACGTTCCATATTTAAAACATCTTATTCTAAGATTGAATTAATCTTAGGGACAAGTTGGGAATATTATTTTCATTTTACGGCTTCCTTTAGTGCCGGTTGAAAGTCACGAACGTGGACATTAAATGCTGACAAAGCTCGGCTTATCAGGGTGTCGGGTGTCCAACATCAAGGCCCTGCTATGTGGTAGCAAGCCTTGATGCTGGAAATAATTTTGAAAATAATTATTTAAACGGTGTTGCCAGATCAAGCCGGAAAGTATATTACAATCCACCGCGAAAATTCCGTAATTTTGTCCCCAAAATTCGACAATTCTAACGTAGCTGCAACACATATGTCTCTCTTCATTTGTTGTATGAATATTTCCATTCGCATATTAAGGAAGAAGAATTCCCTCTCTCTCTCTAATGGTTCAATAGATTTCAAAGAAAAATGCTCGAATTCCAATTAAGAAATTGTTAATTTTATCCAAATCAACTTATTTAGATAGCAAAATTCTCATTGGGACTTGATTATTTTAACCTGTTATTTACAAAAGATCAATTTCCCGAAAATAATCAGGGTAGAATACTAGTTGTGGCCACTTTAAACGGTTCGTCTTTGTCATTAAGAAAATAAATTTATTAAAGCACTAGATTTCCTGATTATTATATTTATCCCCTTTTTTTTTTTTTAAGATAACAGAGTGTCGTCTACTTATTTCGGAATTCTATAAATATATTTACAATCCACTCGTAAGTTCAGAATAGTTTTGTAATATTGACTTTAATAATAAAAAAAATAGCCACAACTGTACAGTGGTTACAAACGGCACATCCATCCCAAATTAAACAAAGAATTCCCTTGAATTTGTAGAGACTAATCTTGTCCTTTGTATCTTTGTGGACAAAATATTGCAAAATTAGAATTCAATTTTATTCAAAGTTTTAAGCATGTGTTTATTATATATATATAAAAAATTTTTTTTTTTTTTAATAAAATTGTAATTGTAATTTCGAACTAAGGAACGTGAATATCTTAGAATGTGTCCTTTATTTTAATTCGGTTATTTATCAATTATTGAGTTAACGAACTTCGAAAATTCTGCGTTTGTTAGAAAGTTTCTTAAATTAAATTCTTTAACCAATTTAATTATTTTCCGATGAATTTCACAAAATTTTGTCACTTGAATGACCCTCCTTTTTTAACAAACTAAATAAGAATTCTCGCCTTTGTGTAATTTGATGAAAGTTACCGGTTTGACATAGAATTTCCGGTCAAGTCAATTTTCGCCGATCATCCAATCAATAGTCACCGGAATTTTCAATCACGAATATTTGGAATCTCAGTTATCTCCAACAGACCAATTCCGTCTTAGGGAGTACAAAAAAAGACAAGAGAAACTTCCTCATGGTAAAATTCGGCCGAAGTTAATATAATTTAACAAAATTATTTTCCAGGTGTTTTTTTACTGTAAATAGAAAGGCACAGATCTAGTGCCGACCTCGGCATCACATCGGCATGGTTCGTTTTAATACCGAAAATCAGCCCCAACCTAGAACCCTTCCTTTACAGTCTTCCCTTTTTATTTTAATTAATCATCGAGCGCAAAGCTTACTTAGATTATCACAGTTCATTTAGCGTAGCATTTGACTCGCCATACATCACATGTGGCAACCCAGCATACTGCGTAGAGTTATGGTCACATGATCAAGTCCCCGGGGACGCGGGATATCGGTTCCAGTCTCATTGTCGCTGATATCGGAGTAGGTTGGTGCAATAAGTGAAAAAAAAAGTTTCTTTGTCGTCCGGGCGCTTAGTGTTTGTGTGAGGAAGAGAGGAAAAAGGAAAAAAAAAAAGTGGTGCAAAGTGATTCCCTTTTTTATTTGTGATGTCCCTACCAGATTTCGACAAGGGCGGCAGGGAGGAATTCCATACCCTCACGGCCTTTTCTGATTCAGCATCAGAACCCGCTGATCTGGAGGATTATTTGGACACTCTTTGGAGAGTTCAAGAGTTTTTCAGGATTTACCCGGAGGAGGACCAAAAACTCAGGAGAGGGAGGTTTATGAAACGTATCTGGGTGCCGGATAATCTTGATGGGGAAATCGCAGGGGAAGATGCGGCTTGCGGTGATGATACCCCGCATTCCGGTACCGGCTCGGAGGAGAAAATCTGCAGGAAAGAGGAATGGGCCCAACGAGGCCCTCCACTCCCTGCAGTGATTCGCCTACTAAAGTACAACGCCGCCCTTCAATCCTTTTGCATTCTAGGAGCATTGAATTCCACTCGAGGGTGAGTAAGGTTTTTAATTACAATTCGGGGTTGCTACAAATTTTTTAATCGTTATTTTCCTGACCTCCAGATAGTATATATAATATAAAAAGATTTTTTTTTTTTTTACAAAAAATTATTTCGTTGAAAAATTCTTTTATTTATCTAGAAGTTTATTAAATTATAAGCGAATAATATTTTGATTTCGAGAAAGGAGAAAAAAAAAATATTCATATATTCAGAGAAATTTATTTAAATATTTTGAGGGAAAATTTGTATAAACATTGCAAAAATATTCAAATGTTTTAAAATTGTTTAAACAGAAAAAAAAAATTCAAATATTACAAATATTATTTGAAAACTTAAATGAAGATTCTTAACAAGAGACGTTAAAATTAAGGCTAAGTTTTGAAACAAAATAATTTCATTTTAAAATTATTTAAAGATTGAAAGCAAACGTAGTAAAATGTAAAGTATAGAAGTAATGAAAATTTGGAATATAATTTAAATATAGAGAATAGCATTTAAATATAAAATATGAAGTCAGAAAAATATTCCAATATTTGCCAACACTTTTGATATTAAAAGAAAATAGGAAAAGAAAAGTAGTTCCCACGTAGGACGAAAGAATATTATTTTTTTTTTTTAATTCAATTATTCTTTAAGTTATTACAAAATTTTGATTGTTTGGAAATTTTCCAAAATTGAAGAACTATTATCCCCTTTTAAGGATTATTTAGAAATGTTTCCAAAAAAAAAATCAATTGTAAGAACTTCTTTATAATTTTCTGAAAATATATTATCTTAAAAGATAATAGAGAGTTACAATTAATAAAATTGAGTTTTTGTATTTTAATCGAATTCTAGAAGAATCTTTTTTTTAGAAAATTATTTAAATTTATTGATTCACAGATGAAATTTAGTTTAAAATTGTAGAAGATAATTTTGATTGATGTTTCCTAAATCTATGTTCTTATGTTTCTAATATTTTATCAATAAATTGTATTTAAAGTTGTTTATAAATAACTATTGTATGTATGTAGAAATTAAAAATTGTTTATAAGTGCTCTCCAAATATCAATCAGTGAAAAAATATTTGTTAATTTTAATTAGTTACTGACTTCCTGCCTTCCAACTAGCAAACTTCACTAAATTAGTAGAAATGATTATTTATTGGCAAATTTTACCCATTCAAAAGAAAAGTCAGCCACCAAATCGAATTAGTGTTTAAATTTAGAAAGTAAGTAAAAATTTACTTGAAATAAACTTATTGTGGAAAACTTATAAACAGACTTACTTTATTACACTCGATTATAAATAACGAATATTTTGAAAATTAGTATCCAAAAAAAGTTTTGGGCCAGGGAAATTGATAAACTAAAACCTGTGACCACCCTGTATATTATATTAAAATAAAATCATTTTTAAACGAACTCTACACGTGATACGATAAAATTTTAATTATATGCACAAATTGTATAGACAAATAAATTTTGTAGGTTTTAAATATATATATATTTTTTTTTAATATTTGTTTTGTCCGAAAATTTATTAATAAAATTTCAAGTTTTTAAATGTTATAATGATTATATTTTTTTTTTATACTGCATTTCTTTGGATGAACTTTCTTAAATGGCCGTAACGCTCTGATATAATAGAAAACTCTATTTTCCTATTGTTCATGTGATGTAAATAATTTTAAAATTATCTTAATATTTTAGTTATTTTCTACCAAGGAATCCAGAACTGTAAAAATTTATAAGAATTTAGCTCATTTTAATTTGTTGTTTGATATATATATTTTTTTTTATTTTTAAATGGAATCCTTTATGTCAAAAGGATAGTTTTCTAGTTGTTTGACGTTCGTAAACCTGTCAAATTAAAATTTAATCACCTTTCAAATAATGCAAAGGTCATATGCACAATTTTACAATAATTATTTATTCCTAAAATAATATTGGATAATTTATTTATCAATGATATGTGATAATAATAAAATAGAATTATTGTAATGGAATAACAATGTATAATATTTAAATAACCTATTAACAATTTTGGGTAATTATAATAGTTATTTATATAATCGAAGACTATAATGTAATTTATTAAAATGTAGAATTTAATGAGTCATAATATCTCTTCTCTCTTTTTTTTTTTAACATAAAAATTGACATTTTCCATATCGCGATTAATTTGATAGAATCAATTCACTAATAATTGTTAGCCATTTTTCACAATGAAAATTAGCACTTTATTTATCAATTAAAATAATTAAATGATTTTATTCTACTGAATTTATGCAATGGCTGAAATAATTTCATCTCTGATACCTTTTTCTTGAAATGTGTAACATTTCTTTTGTTTCTAGTAATCACCTACATTGATTCGAAATTATTAACCTAAATAACCGTCAAATTAGTAATTCAAGTTTAAATTTAATTATTTGATAAATCAGGGTTGCCACAAGATTTTAATTTTGTTTTTCCCTGACTTTTCCTGATTCTGAAGAACATCAATAACTTCCCTTTCTTTTAAATAAATATTTCATCATTATTATTATTTTGTATAGAAATCAAGATTCTCAAATTCCATAACTTATTAGAATATCATTATAGAACATGACGAATCGAGCACTCCGAGTCTTTGACTCGGAGTGATCGATCCCCCTATGCTCCGCAATAACCCCAGGATGCCAGAGTGATAAAATCATTATTTCTAATCATAAGAATATTGCAACTATAAATCCAAATTTTCAAAGATTTTAATTTTAACCTCTTTCAAAATTCAACCATTTCTCAAAATTCATGCTATAATGCTTTCAATATTCAATTATAATTTAAATTTTTAAGTGGAAAAAAAAATTCTTTTTCTTTTTGGTATAGAATCCCTGACCTTTCCTTGAATTCCCTGACTTGTGGCAATTCTGTATATTAGTTCTTAATAGTTTATTCTATGCTTTATACATAATGTTGAAGCTTCTAGCAGTCAGACAATTACAAGGGAAAGAAAAGGAAGAAAAGAAATTGCCTTCCCTTTCCTTCAATAATCAAAAGTTGGAAACAGAACTAGAACACATATATGTGTACTCTAAACTCGAATGGGAGAAGTCCCACGTATTCGGATTCAAGCGTATCTATTCCCTTCTTTCCTTTAGATTTTTGATTAAATTCGGGGCTTGGAGACCAGCCCCCCATAGAAGAGATGAAGGGGAGGCCTGGTACCATGATGTCCGGTTGGCTAGAGAAAGCCACCCGAAACTCTACTCCCGCTCTCGGTGGTACCAGGAGTATCGGTGGGACGAGGCTACCCAGCAGCACTTATGTCGCGGCTTCTGGGCCATGGTAAGTGTAGGAATAACTTCATAATTGACAAGAGATTTAATGTGGACCCAGGGGAGGGCATCTCTTCCGAATAGTTATGATTGCTTATTAATTTTAGAAGGATTTCGTTAACCTGACGGAGGTGAAAGAGGGGCGAGAATCTACCCGACTTATTCAGGGTAAATGGCGCGGCAAGGACAGCAACATTTACTGGTAAGAGCTCAGGATAATTTCAGGCCTCGAACTACCTCCGGCATTAAAATTACGTACCTTAGGGGCAAAAGTGAAAAGTTAGGCGTCAATAAGGGCCAAATTTGTCTTTCTTTGTTCAAATCTGAATTAAAATAGTGTCATTAGTGTCAAAAAAAATTTTTTTTTTTTTTTAATAGTTGAAAATGTCAAAAGTGTTAAATGTCGTGAGTGGGAGGCCTGCATATTTTGTTAAAAATTTTATTTTCAAATTACATTATCATTTTCAGTATGAAAATTATTTATTCATAAAACAAACATTATAAGGATTAAATCTGCTTAACTATTTAAATAGAATTGTTCTAATGAAGTATAGAATCCCCGTTACTCAGAAGTACGTATTCACGTGCCTTAAGGATTCAATTGAATTACGTACTTTTCCTTAATTTAGGTACTTAGTTCGAGGACTGTAACTTGTTCTAGGCTAGTCGATTCATTCTGGTTTCTGAATCGGGACGAAACTTTTCTCTTTTGTTTTTCTTTTAGTTCAATGAGCTCGCTCCCAGGGGTGCCTCCTGCTACTGGGTACCAGCCCTTTAATAGGATATTACGACTTACGTTTCTCCAAGCGTTCTTTTGGAGCCGTGAGGGGAGGCCGCAGGGGCGCTGTCGGTGGGCATTGGTAAGGACTCAAGATGTTCTTGAACGTCAACGTCTTATTTGGATTATTTAGACCCACCTTTCCCTTTCCGATTTCTCCCCTTTTTGTTTTACTGAATTTATTATATTAAGGAATTTCGCGAAGGGGAATTTACACAGGGAGTCAAGTGTACACTATTTTTACTGGTAAATTCCCTTAGAATTTTGTAACAAATTTTTATTAAAAAAAATTTTCTGTTTGGAAAGTTTCCGAAATTGAAGAAGTATATTATTTTTTTTTTTTTATTAATGGTAGAATATATTTATATTCCCCTTTTTTTTTCTTTTAGTCCTTTAACGTGGAACCAGATGAGCAGTGGCAGGAGGTCGACTCTAATGGACTGCTCAGGAAAGGGCCGTGGACCGTGGGAGGAGATGATCGAGACCCTTTAGAAGTGCCTAATTAATTATGCATAAGGGAAAAATTTTATATAGCATCCATCTTTTTTTTTTTAAATTTTTATATGTACTTAATACACCGGTGAGAGAAATCCCTTTTTGTATAACCTTATGATTGCTCATGTTACTGTTCCATCTTTTGGTTTTCTTTATTTTTCTATTCTTTAATAAATTCACCAATATTTTCCTAACGCTTGCTGTTTTTATTCTGTAATTTTTTTTTTTTATTAAATTTACTTCCCCCTTTTTTTTTTTATTCGGCTGTACATTGTTTCATAAATAGCGTAGGTGAATTGAATATAATAGTGTCAGGGCTCGAACTAGGTCCGTAAATCCCGTAAAAGTCCGTAACTTTGCTAAAAGGTCCGTAAAGTCCGTAATTCGATTGAAAAAGGTCCGTAAAGTACGTAAATTATACGATATAATTTGGATGATTTTAGAGAAATTACAAATGATTGAAGGAATTCAATTATTTTCAAAAGCAACAAAATTCTTAGAAAAATTTCAATTATTTTCAAAATTTTTCCTCAATTCAATGATTTTTAATAGGTATCTATACTATTTTAATAAAATTTTGCAAAAGAATTCAAATTATTTGAAAATTGATTGATACAATTCTTTAAAAGAATTCAATTTTAAGAAACATATGTAATTATTCAATAAATTGTTTTTTTTTTGTATTTAAATAATGAAATTCTCGTAGAATTTTCTGATAAAAATTGATTTAAAAATAATTAAATTTTGAAAAGGTTTCAGATTCAAATCTTTGAAAATTTGAACTTTTCATATTTTTAACTAACAATTCTGTGGAATTAATTTTTTTTTTTTTTTTTTTGAGAAATTTTAATTGCGGATTTTTTTTTTTATATTATTTGAAGTTTTTATTTTTTTTTTTTAATACATATTTAATTGAAGAATTTAAAAATAATTGAAATTTCGTAAGATTGAATATTGTAAAGAAATGGATTTGAAAATTGTCAAAGAACTTTTTCGAAAATTATTAAAATAATCGATTTTAAGAAGAACTTTAGTTAAAAATTCTCGAAAATAATAATTGAATTGATAATAATTTTATCACTCTATCTTTAATTATTATAAAACATGAAGTAATCGATCGCTTCGAGTCGAAGACTCGGAGTTATCGACATCTTCATGTTTTTTTTAGTTATGAAAAAATCTAATTTATAGTTTTAAGTAAAATGTTCTCTTATATATTTTTGTCAGTAATTGGTCCGTAAATGGTCCGTAATTTTTCATTTTTGGTCCGTAAAGTCCGTATTTTTAAATACTTTCACTGGTTCGAGCCCTGTAGTGTAGCTGCACACTCGTACCATCCCGAGGAAAGAAAAAAAAATAATAAATTTTCTTTTTAACAAAGGGATGATTATCTCGGTCCGAATCCTCATCCCGCGGCACCGTGGAATGATCATGTAAGTGGCATAAAACTTATTATAAACGCGCCTAATTTTGTTGTCGCACATACGGAATGTTGCCTCGAATCAGATATCTGATTGACAATTTGCATATAACTCTGAGACTGAGTGTAAGTATAGTAATGGCTGGAATGTCAATTATCCCGGGGCCAACTGTGATAATCCCGTTTTTCGATTCCTATATTCGTTCTGAGAGAAATGACAACTCAGTTTATTAGGAGAGCCGCCGACGGTCAGGTACTGACCCAAAACTCCCATAGCTCATGAGTGGGCGTCTATGTATTACAACACATAGACGCCCACTACCGTTGACTACATGGTAGGAGGGAAGTTTGGCGATTTTGAGGGCGGCCCAAACGGCTGCATAGTCGGTAAGACCGTGTAAGCCTCCCTCACAAAATTCTTCTTAGTTTTTCTTTTAAAACAGAGATTAAGCCGGACACATCCCGACGGTACTGATATCGTTGGCGGCTATCCATCATTGATAATTCCGTACTCACAATCACTTAGTTCTTAAATCCTATGTTATACAATGGTGCACAGATAAGTGAGAGTTGTCGATGACAAGGCACTGACCCAACACTCCCATAGCTCATGAGTGGGCGTCTATGCGTTGCAATACATAGACGCTCACTACCGTTGACTAAATGGTAGGAGGGAAGTTTGGCGATTCTTGAGGGCGGCCCAAACGGCTGCATAGTCGGTAAGACCGTGTAAGCCTCCCTCACAAAATTCTTCTTAGTTTTTCTTTTAAAACAGAGATTAAGCCGGACACATCCCGACGGTACCGACATCATCGACATCTCTCACTACACACTTTATTAAAAGTATCCTTCTAATTGGTCACCCAATAGGGTAGTTGCTGACACTAAAATTCCTCGATCGACGTTTAAAGGGTTTTCTTTTTTTTTTTAATTATGTTTATTCATTAAGATTTATATTGTTATTACATTATTATTATTACTTTACTTATTAAAAATTTTTTTTTTTTGAATTTTATATAAAATTTCCTTGTTGGTTTTTTTTTTTATTATTATTAGGTTAAAAACCCTTGGTTGTTAAGACTACTTAATTAATTACTTGAAATGATTATTATTTTAATAAGAATTTACTTATCTTGAATAATTATGGGAGCTACCGCGATTCTCATTGTCAGTTGTGATTTGGGCGGTGCTAGCCTTCTCCGGTGATCTTCGGAGTTGTCTTCCGGGATGTCGTTCTTTTGGTGGTGAAAACGCCTGGTGGTGGTCGAAGACTTTCTGTTTCTTTTTGTTGTCATCTTCTGTCGGGACAGGAAAGGTCCAGGATTCCAGTCCTTCAATCAGTCATCTGATCTTCCGTTGCTGAGATTCTTCAAATGTTGCGAGCTTTTTCTCCCTTAGGTTGGTCGATATGCCAGAGGTCGATGCCTTTTCTATTCTCATAGTTGTCTCTCCTCGCTTGGTGGGGGGCGGGGCGATCTCTTTGTACACTGGCTCTTCCTTCTCCTGCTGGCGAACGGGGGGGCTTGGTCTTTCTAGTTTTGAAACTGGTAGTTCAAAACTCTCACTCTTTGTCCTGACGAGCCACATTCGGCTAAATTTAGCTATTCCAGATTGGCATGGAACGCGGCAAATGTACAGCATGAGAATCATGGACAGTAGAACCAGTCCTCCGTATGATCCATATACCAAGGTCCGGTGTTCTCCTCCGAGGTGATGTTGGAGAGATAATTCCTGCAGCTGCTGTTCCAGATCGTCTAATGTCTTGGAGTTGGCCTCGAAGGTGGAGAGTTCGGGTTCCTTCCCAGAACGGGGGTTAGCAGCAAACGTTATTCCTTTTAGCAGGTGACCGTATCTTGCCAATAATGGCGATAATGTGGTTAAATTTAAATGTAGTTCTGATTCGAAGATAAACTCAGATTCTCCGGCCTGGGCGGTCGTGGCTGGGATGATAGTGTCCTTGGTTTTTAGGGAGCATCCGGGTCCCAGTTTGATGATTCCGGCATTTCTTAACTCAATTTTCACTGGACTAAGGGAGTGGCAAACAATCGTTGCAGTTTCCGGAGCTGCGAAGGAGTAGATCCAGCCGCCAATAGAATTCAGTGGTTTCCAGTAAGATTCTTGTTTGCTGGTAATTCTCACTTCACAAAACCTTAGGGCTTCCGTAGTTGGTTTAATTAAGAGTGAAGCCTCACAGGATGCTCGTTGTTGAAAATCGTAGATGGGGGCACCTTGAAGGCATGCATGGAATGATGTCGTTGACTTACATTGGTCCCAGTCTTGCTCCTTCAGCGGGAGGTATGTTCGTTGATCCTCGTCTATTATCAAATAATCATATTTTGAGTTTACATATGCTCTTCCAGTACCATTTTCGAGCATTTCTTGGGTGGTGGGGAGTGAGTGAAGCTTAAAGGCCTGGTAGTTATATTTTTCCAAGAGGGGAATATCGATGAGAACGTTAAGCTGTTGGTTTTCACAATGGATTGTGGCCGTGGAGATATGCATTAGTTCGTCGACGCTGATCCTTGGTCCTGTTAGAGGAAATTTCACGTCCTTGAGGTTGTCTTGAACTTCTCTGAGAATTGGTTCTAGCTGGGCGGAGGTGATGAGCCCAGGATGCAACTGTCCCTTCCTGGCCTCATGAACTGCTTCCAACATGGTAGAGGTTGCCTGAATACTGTGATCGAGTCCTAGTCTCAGGGCCCTGGCTATGGCGAAGGTCAGGTTTCTTCTCTCCATTTCAGCCTTCATCTTGACGAGGTTCTGGGCAGCCAGCGTTTGGAGTTGTTCCTGTAGATGCTGCAGCAGGGAGCCATGTCGCTGTACCTGAGCGTGTAATGAATCAAGCTGTGATCTGACTACATGAGTCTGCTTTCCGACGAGGTGTGATAGGTTAGCTTGGGCTTCGTTCAAGTTTCGGATGGCTGCATTATATCTCTCTCCATCATCGTATGTCATTACACCAATGATTGGTCCTGCAATTTTTCCCAGGAAGCCAAGTAGAGGAACAGCCCGTCTTGCTCGTAGTTGTGAGGTCATTCGTTTAGGTGAGGTTCTTTTGGTATTCTCTAATTCTTCGATTTGGATCCGGAATTGTTTTTGGAGTTCAGAGGCCATTTCCCATCGGTCTTCCCATTGGTATGATTCCAATAAATCCAAACACCATTCTTCTTCAGGTCCACACTGCGCTCCTAGCTTCTTTAGACGCTGCTTTAGATCGTCGAAAAATCGGCACTGCTTTCCGACGTCCAGGAACACGGCAATTCTCCAATTGCTAACCGATCTCCTGACTTCCCCGATGTACTCGAAGTACATACCGCTACTGGATTGGAAAGGGGTGATCTGGTACTGGTCACTTCCTGTAGTCGCATCAGGTTGGCTTAGGGTTCCCTGCCGGGCTTCTGTCGTGATCGGAAGGAAACATAGCAAAGTTAGGACAGCAACTCCCATCATCGTGAATTGGTTGATCATCCGCATTCTAGAACAATATTGAACATTAGTGATTGGAATTATATATGGGCAACCATGACCTTGTCCCTATGTTTTGAAAATCTCGCGCCGTTTTCGTTTTCTAGGACCACGTTATTATTTTCGGTGAATCCTATGATAGTGAAAGGGCCATCTGCTCGTTTATCGAACTTATTTGTTCGAACTTCCTTATAAACATAAACCTTATCCCCTATTTTAGCATTTAAAGGTCTAGTTTTTCTATCGTACGCTTGTTTCGACCTTTCCTTTGACTGAACCAAATATTTAGCTGCGAGGTTTTGCAGTTCGTTCATTCGGGTGATTAGGTCCTTAAGATAAGAGCCATAGGTTTCGACTTCCGGGCCTTGGGGTAATGAGCTGGGTGCTCTTGCCAAATGACCGAACACGAGCTCGTATGGTGTAAA